TTTTTTTCCTGAGATAATTCATCATAAACTTTCCTTGTCTCTGTGCTTTTAGTAATCTTTCAAGATTGCCAGCATATATGATTTCTTCCTACTTCTTACAGGTCTTCATTAGAATTCATTGTTAATCGTAAATTAATTTTAATGGATTGTTCATTTTAAGTTCAATTCTATCTTCTCTCTACTGTACTAAAACAAAAATAGCAAATAACTCACCTGAGAATTTCAAAGGAGAAATTGCCTCACAGCACATAAGCACATAGGCTTCCTGCTTGGAAGGGTATACTTCTGTCCCCGATAGGGCAAGGAGGCATGAGAACACATTGATGTTACAGTGAATGGGCGCTGCCAGGCAGGTGGCATTGACATTCTAGCACACTGGATATTAAAGAAGCTCGATTTCAAAAGAATAGAACTATGTTGACAAAATAAATACTGGAGACCACTTAGACCTTTAATTCTTAGGTATGTTGTCTGTGCTATACAGATGACAGTGAAAAAGTCTGTTTCCATATGAAATTGATGGTAGGTAATCAGCTTAGATTTTGCAGACACCTTACTTTGGCTTTGCTGAGGGCAGTGCCCACCCTGGAGAGTGAACCTCGAGGTGGAGAGAAGGATGGGTGGCCAGGTCCTGAAAGAGCTAGCCCTAGCAGTAGACCACCTTCTTTTTCTCAGTGCCGCATTTCACGTAAGGCCATTGTTTACATGCTCTGGCTCCCTGACCTCAGAGGGAGAGTGATATTGAATGGGTACAAATGGATTTATGTGGTTATCTCACATCAAGGTGGTTTTCTGTGTTTTAAATGAGTCATATGGAGATAGTTGTTATTTTGTGTTGGAATACTACAACAGTAGTTCCTCATATTTACCTTTATCTCATTTTATATCCCCAAATTGAGTTTGTGAAGATTGTTAAAAATGGGAATATTTATATACTACATGCACCTAAAAATTCTATTTTGGGGAAGGTGGGGGCTTGCAATACTATTTTGGACTCAACCTGTGTAATGTTTTTTCTGAAGTTACTGTGATTAGGGCAATAAAAGTCTTTTTGGTAACAATTTGTTCCAATTTTAGAAACCTTGTTAATTAAAATGAATATAATAGTTTCATTTAGCAGCTTTAATACAAACATGAAGATAGAATTTGAGAGATTGATTTAATAAATAATGACTTAATTAAGGGCACCCAGTTATTGTGCTAGAAACAAATCTAGCAGGTATAACATGTGATTTCATTTTCCAAATAATTCTTTACTTTTCATAAGTAAAGATTTAATGTGCCAATAAAATAGATTTAGTTACATTCCATTTCTCTGCTTCTCAAAAAAACTGTAGGTGTGCTTACTTCCCATTCTTTCTTCATGTCTGTCCTCATTGGCCTTTATGCCTCCACTGTCCCCTGATACTGCTCTTGTCACAGTGATGGCCAGGCTCTGTGCTGCCAGGTTTTCCAATTACATCCTCCCCATTGTACACTACCTCTCAGCTGCATGGTCAGTTGACCGGTACCTCTTGGTTCACAGTGATTTTTCCTCAAGGCTTCCATGACCCCAGATTTTTTTGCTTCCTGCCTTTCTCACTCACAGAGCATCTAGGTAATAGAATGCTTAGCACCAAGTCCTGGACTTACTCTTTCTCCATTCTCCATCCCATATTTGTCAGCACTGTCAGCAAACATTAGTTCTGCCTCCAAGTAATATCTCAAATCTATTATTCGTTTTCTTCCATTTCTACAGCATGTTCTTTAATCCAAGGCAGTGTAGGGTTTCTTGAGCTTCCTAACTTGTTTTCCTGCCTCCATTTTTACCCTCTAGGATCCATTTTCCACATAGTATCAAGAATTATTAAAAACAAAATAAAAATTTTAATCCATGTAGGATCCAGAGTTAAACAAAAAGCAAAAATCTTTAATCATATCACTGCCTTGCATAAAACTCTTCTGGTAGACTTCTTAGTTCACTTAGAATAAAATCTGTTTGTTTTTATTGTTTGTTTGTTTACCGTATTCTATCATGCCCTACTTAATTTGGCTGCTGCCTGCTTTCTTAGCACATAGAGCTATGCCTACTATATACCATGTTCAGGTTTTTACAGTTGCTCATCTTCTACTGGTCAGGTAGGGTCTTTTAGATCAGATGTTTACCTCTTCAGAGTGGTTTTCCATAACCACTTTGTGTACATTGGTCCCCTCACCTCACCTTAGCAGTCACTTCTAGCCTTTTATTCTGTTTTATTTTCTTCATATCACATGTCATATCAGAAATAATTTATTTATCTGTTTATTGTCTAATTTCCGCAGTTAGAATGTGTGTTCAACACAGTAAGAAAGGGCTTTGTGTGCTCTGTTCTTCACTTGTTAGAGCATTACCTGGCATATCAGAGGGGCTCAGTAAGTCCTGCTGATTGGACAAAGGAATAAATGTCCCCTTAGATTTACTTAGAAAAGAGAATGGTTTCCCTCTTTGGTTTTAACTTCCTTCACTTCTCAGATTTAAAATGTGAAAGGTCAGTGTACTTTTGTCATCAGTCTGTGAAGTAAAGCTAAGAATACCAAGTACATTCAAATGGAGAAAAATTTATTCTTTTTTATGTTAAGGGAGACATTAGAAGCATCAGCACTTTAAAGTTTGCTAGAAAAATTACTGAGATTGCAGATTGGAATTTTTGATATATTGTCACCCTTGGAATCTGAAATATAATGTACTGCAACTTAGGTGCAGCCCTTGTTACATGATATTTAGCTGTTGAAGATGGTTTTCAAGTATGTAAAATTAAGCATATTAATCTAAGAAACTCTCTCCACATTCATAGGATGTAATCCCTGTTCATTACTACCTAATACCTCCACCCACAAAGACTAAGAATGGCAGCAAAGATAAGGAAAAAGATCCAGAAAAAGAGAAAGATTTAAAAGAAGAGTTTACTGAAGCATTACGAGATCTTAAAATTCAGTGGATGACAAAGTAGGTTTTTAAATGTATTTTAATTCTTCAAATGTTTAGTTTTATTTTCCCACTTATAACAATATTGTGTATGTATACATAGACTATCTTCAAAAATATTAAGAGCAGATGGTAGGATTACAGGTGGTTTTAAATTTTCTTGTATTTATATTTTTGTAATTACCTTTTATGATAAATTTTTTAAATTTTTATTTTAATAACTTATTCTAATTTCCTCTTAGAAGAGAATTTTATTGGAAGGTATAAAAATCACCTTGGCCCACACTCCAAAGATAGTTATTGTCCTATTATTATTTTTCTTTGTATTTGTACAGGTAGCAGTATAATGAAGTTGTGTCCTAGTTCTTTAATTACTTTTTTATTATTTAATAGCCCTATAAAATACCATTTTTAATGACTGGGTCTATGTCTGCAGTATTATCGATTTAAGCATTTTATTTGGTGTATGTTCATAGCTTTTCTCTATAATGCTGTGATGAGTATTTTTATACATAAAGATGTTTTTAAAAATTTTGATTGCATCTTAAAAATATAATTATTGAATCAAGTATTTTTAAAAGTCATCTTGATGTTTTGTCAGATTGCTTCTTAGATTGACTGTAAAAATTTATACTCCATCTAGCAATATATATGTATGCTACTACAGGATGCAAAAAAAGCCATTATTGGCTCTCTTAAATTACATTTCTTTAGTTATTATTGAAGTTGAGCTCTTTTACTGTTATCCTTCAAGGTATAGTTTCTGTCAATTGAACATATTCTTTGCCCATTTTTCTATGGAGACATTAGATTTTTCTTGTCAATTTAAACTTTTTAATATAAAAAATATTAATATTATTCTGTACTTGTCACAGATTTTTCCCCAGCTTGTTCTTTGACTTTTAGTGTACTTTTTACATAGTAGAAATTTATTCTATGTAGTCGAATCAGTTGCTTTTTCCATTTGTTATGCAATATTTCTTTTACCGCTGATTTTCTGTGGGAGTCATCGTTAGCTATTTATGCAGGTTATATGGTCTAAGTGGGAACAGAAGTTACATAATGTGAAAATAATTTTCAGAGATTGAACCATTATAATGCAGTTCACTTTGAAATTACCTTTCCATGTAATACTAGGTTGTATCTCTACCAGAAGTCAAAGTCTTTAGGTCTGTCTCTAGCTGATTGTAGGATGTTGCAAACATCAAGAAAGTGAAAAGAACAATCTATAAAAATGAGAGAAAATATTTGCAAATCATATATCTCTAAGAAACTTACATCCAGAATATATAAAGTCTCTTACAACTCAGTAATACAAAGGCAAATGGCCCAATTTTAAAAATGAACAAAGAATCTGAACAGACGTTTCTATAAAGAAAATATACAAATGGCCAATAAGCTCATGAAAAGATGCTCAACATCATTAGTCTTCAGGAAAGTGCACATCAGAACCACAATGAAATACCACTTCACGTTCACTGGCATAGCTAGAATCAAAGTCTAAGTTTTGGCAGGTATATGGAGAAAGCATAATCCTCAGACATTGCTGGTAGGAATGCAAAATGGTGAAGCCTTTTTGGAAAACAATCTTGCTGTTCTTCAAATGATTAAACATAGTTTCCATATGGCCCATCAGTTCCACTCCCCTGTATATACCCAAGAAAAATGAAAACCTATATTCACACAAAAACACACGAAAGTTTATAGCAGCATTATTAAAGGCCAAAAGGTGGAAACAACCCAAATGTCCATTAGCTGATGAATAGATAAACAAAATGTGGTATAGCCATACAGTCAAATACTATCCAGCCACAAAAATGACTGATGCATGCTACAGCACGAGTGAACCTTGAAAACAGTATGCTAAGTAGAAGTAGCCAGTCACAAAAAACCACATATTACATGATTCCATTCATATTAAATGTCCAGAATAGGGAAATCTATAGAGACAGAAAGTAGATTAGTGCTTGCTGAGGGCTGTGGAGGCTGGAGAAGGGTTGACAGCTAAAGGGTGTGGGGGTTTCTTTTTGTGTTAATGAAGATGTTTTAATGTTGACTGTGGTGATGGTTGCATATATCTGTTAATATACTAAAAACCATTGAAATATATACTTTTAAAATGGATGAATTATATGATATGTGAAATATCTCTGTTTTTAAAAAATGAAATTGCAAATCTTGTAAAACATGCAAGATTTAGTGAAATTAATGCAAATGATGTTAGAGAATAAGACTAATTATTCACAAAGCCATAGCAAATGTGATTAGACTATTCAGAAACATCAAGGAGAAAAATTAAAAAGGTTCTTGACCCAATAGGTATTTTAGAAGAAAACAGCAAAGAATTTAGAGGCCCTTTGTAGAATTTATGAAACCTTAGAATATTCTGGGGGGGAAAAAACCTTCTCTATACTTAAGCTGTAGTAGTTTCAAGTATAAAGCGAAAATGTTGGTTTTGCTGTTGTATAATTGTTGGAGGGGGTGGAAAGAAAAAAACAACTTGATTCAGTTTTTGTACCAAGAATTGGTGCAGATTTTGTTGTATTAAGTTAAATTTATTTTCATAAAAAGCTCCACTATCAAAATCCCAGTTAACCTTATTTTTATACTATTACTATGCAATTTTGGTAATATTTTAAGTGAATTTAATGTAAGTGACCTGTCTCTGATGCTAGTTATTTGCCATTTGGATATTAATTTGGATTGTTTTAACCCTATGGAAGAATTGCCATAGTTTTGTTCAGGTTCCCCATCTGGGAACATGGAATGTCCTTTTTATTCATTCAAGACTTTAGAATTTTCAGAAAAGTTTAAAATTTTCTTCTTGTAGATATTAGATATTTTCTAAATCTTTTAATCTTTCATGCTATTTGTGAATATTTTTCCTCCTTTTTAACAAATCTAATTACAGCTAGTATGTAAGAAAGCTATTGATACACATTTTTATCTGAACATCATATTGAACTCATGATTTAAATAATTTTCAGTTTGATTTTCTTGGTTTTCTGGGTATTAGATATTTTCTAAATCTTTTAATCTTTCATGCTATTTGTGAATATTTTTCCTCCTTTTTAACAAATCTAATTACAGCTAGTATGTAAGAAAGCTATTGATACACATTTTTGTCTGAACATCATATTGAACTCATGATTTAAATAATTTTCAGTTTGATTTTCTTGGTTTTCTGGGTAAGCATTTATACTACCTGCCAATAATGAAATCCTTATCAAAATGATAATTCTTGTCAACCACTATACTTACATTTCAAATTGATGCCATATTTTATTGACTGGAATTTCCAAACAATGTTAAATAATAGAGAAGACAGAAATTTTTTTTTAAAGAAAAAAGTGAATGTTTCTCTCTTTCTTACATACATAGGCTGGATTCTAGTGACATTTATAATGAATTGAAAGAAACATATCCTAATTATCTTCCTCTGTACGTTGCACGACTTCATCAGTTGGATGCTGAAAAGGTTGGACATGTTCATTCTTTATATCTTGTTGGTAATATTAGATAAGGATTGTGTTTTGAATAAAAGTGCATCACTGTCTTTTATTCTTACTGATTAAAAACATGTTTCCTCAAACTTAATGTTGTATTAAGCTGTTTTCATTAAGGTAATTACAGAACCTGACCACTACTGTGAGTTTAGTTTAGCATTCTTTTGTTTGGTTAGTGAGAGTAGTAATAGAGAGGACACCCTAAGGATTGCTTTTGTGACCTTAACCTACAGGGCAAGGAGCAGAAGGCAGTGGTCCTGGCCAGTTGGAAGTCTAAACAATTTGACTGAAAGAATTATTCCTACTTTGCATTAATTTCATTAGTGATTCTCATTTGTCAGAATTGGCCATAGTTCCAGACTGCCCTAACATGGACCAGCTTTCATTAGTAGTCATGGCAGTTAGGAAGGTGCTAGCCATAATCAATTAAAAATCATTAAGGGTTTAGAGTGAACTAGAAAGTGTTCAAAGGAGACCTCTTAAAAGACTTTAACAAGAGAGAAGCAAATTTCTGAGAACACCCTGATAATCACATGTAGACCTTGTTGATTATAATCTTGTTTACTCTTATCTTTGTGTTTTTAATGATGGATGAGAAAGAATTTGTTTCATCAGCTAGTCTTTTTGTTTCCTTCTGTTTTTATGTAGTGTGGGACCGGAGTAGTAACATATCCAGTCACATTTCTAGAGTCTTAAGATACACAGAAAAGGAGTTGCCTTTGGTAAAAAAAAACAAAACGTTTTACATTTTTATGAGCTTTATATTTTGCTTACTATCACCATTGAGCTCCAGGAGGGAATGTAAATTAGGTATTGTCACATCTGAGCTCCAGCTTTCTAGAGATGTTGGCAATTAGAAAAACCACATTAGGAGATGGCACAGAGCCCCTGGGCTGCAAGTAGATTACATAGTCCTCTCACAATTCAGTTGCAATTCTACAGAAGTGAAAATGCTTTCATGTACTGATTGCTATACTGATTTTTTATTATTTCATTTTTCCTCCCCAGGAACGAATGAAAAGACTGAATGAAATTGTTGAAGCTGCAAATGCTGTTATTTGTCATATAGATCAGACGGCCCTGGCAGTTTATATTGCAATGAAGACTGATCCCAGGCCTGATGCAGCTACTATAAAAAAGTACCTAACCAGTAAATAATCTTCCTTGCATCTCATTTCTTAGTTACTTGTTTAAAAAGTAGGGACTAATGTTATGGAAAATAATGCTCTTCCAATGTTTGTTGTATCTTTATAATTGGGATTATCAGTATTTGGATAGTCCCTCCTTAGAAATTTTGTAATAATTTTAAAACTAAGCCCCAGAAAAGTAATTTGCTTTCTTTACCATTTGCTGTTGAGGTAGAGGGACTTGAATAGCTGTGATTAGGCAATCCAGCCCCTTGAGGATTTCTGTGAACTGGACCATGTAGAGAAGTCAAAAGCATAACACTCTATAAAATTAATCTTCAAACTATTTATTGACCAATAGCATGATAAACCTAAAATTTAGTTTGTAATGCCTAGTGAAATAAATGATAAAAAATAAAATTAGGTTAAAACTATTATCTGGCAACTTTAGTTTTATGGAATTGACTTTATAGTATGACTTGGGGAGAATTTATAGTTTAGCTTTTATAACACCTAATGCTATCTATATATACGTAGAGAAGCTTACTGGGGTTTATGCATGATTGGTATGGTTGCTTCCATCTAAGAGTGTGGTTTCCATATGTTGGTGTGAACAAACTGCCATTTGAATCAAGCTGCCATTTGAACTAATAAACTAAAACTGTTGCAGTTGCCTGAAAGTACTGTAATTTTCCTTAAAAATTTTAGCAGTTTCAGTATTTTATTCTCCATGAAACATTTGGATTCTAAACTGCTAGAACACTTGCCCCATTATGTTGTTTATATTGATATTGTAGGATCTTACGACTCTTACAAGCAGTAATTTTCAAGTAGAATAAAATTTATTTAAAATTGGTTATTTGGTCATTGTTAGTACTATTTCATATTTTCCAAAAGAATAATCTTAAAACATTGCCATTTTGTTGTTGTTAATGATAATAATAATGGTGTAGCCACTATTTATTAAGTGCCAATTACATACAAGGGACTGTTTGAGTCATTTTAAATAACATTGTCTCATTTAAATTTAGTCTTCCAGACAACATGTGAAGTAGGGATATTTTTAACCCCCTTTTATAGAAGAGGAAACTGAAGTTTAGAGAGATTAGATGACTTGGCTAAGGTTCCAGTGCTAGGAAGTGGGAAACCCATAGTCAAATCAGTACCTGTCTCCAAAGCCTGGGCCTTTCATTTCTCCTAAAATTCCTACTCCCTTCTTGAGAAGATGAACATAACCTCAAAAAATTCTCACAAAAAACAATAGGCACATCACCACCCTGCCTTCCCATCCTCGTTGCTTTCCTTCCGTTTTAGGGTGAGAAGACTCTGACAGGGGTGGGAAAACCTGCAGCCTTGGGGCCACATGTGGCCTTCTGGATCCTTGAGTGCAGCCTTTTGACCAAATCCAAGTTTTACAGAACAAATCCTTTTAATATAGTGTGTATGGCTCATACATGTATGGCTCATTTTGAAATTTCAGTAAATATTAAGGTCCATGTTTTCTAAATTTTACCATCCACAGAGGAAACTAAATTCCATATTTAAGTGAGCCAGAAATACAATATTAGTTTTGTTTTCTTATTAGACTTTTTTTCTATTTTTATCTCAATTTTTTACAAAAATTCTACTCTTTGGAGAATGCTGGGCACTGAGTCCAATGGCTATCAGAAATAAACTGGGATAAAACTAGAAAGGAGCCATAAAACCTTGTAAAAATGCAAAGAGTGAAGCTGTTTTAAGTTTTAGTAGCATTGGATCAGCTTGTCCATCCTTGTAATTAAGGTATTTTTCTCCGGGCCTTTGCTTTGGCCTGACTGAAATGGATTCTGATGAAGGTTGGTTGTTTTTGAACAGAGTACCATATCCAAACTTGAAATCCATTGAAGACAAGATGCTATCAGAAAATATTTAATATTTCATATAAGTATTATCTTTTGGCAAATAGCAGCAGACTTAAACATTGATTTCTCATTTCTATGCAAAATTTCTTTCACTTAAATCACTCATGTCAAAAATTATAGCCATTTTATAGTCTTAAAAATGATAACTTTTTGTTGCTCATCTAATGTTTTAGTTAAATTGAAACTGCACTTTACTTACTTAAGCATTAAAGTATCTGATTCAAATTAAGTTGCTTCCTAAAAGGTACCTATTATCACCTTGATGGGTACCTAATTAGATTTAATTCAAAAGATGTTTATTGAGCAAATACTACATGCAAGGCATCACCGAGAGGGACTTAAGAAATGAACAAGGCAGACCCTCTCTAATCTTAGAAAATTTATAATCCAGAAGATGAAATTGCCAAATAGGAAGTGATTAAGAGATATATGAAATATAATAAATATTTTAAAATGTAAAAGCCTATAGGGAGGAAAGCCCCATAGATTAACAAGGTATTCAACCTTAGCCAGTCAGTACTAAGTTACAAGAAAGTAGAAAAGGAATATTCCACGTTTGGAGAATTTAGATTATTGGATCAGAGGGTACTAAAACAGAAAGAGATTTCACAGGTAATTTAATCAAACTCCGGTGAGAACAGAACACCTGTGTCATCTCCAACTCAGCTTCCAAATTCTGCATCCTTCCAGCCCTTCTCTTGGCAGCCAGGACCCATCAGTCAGTGTTAGCATGGATGAGGAAAATTGCCTGTCAGTCCATTTCTGTTCCAGGGCCCCCTTTCTCTTCACAAAATAGGGATAATAATTATGCTTGATTCCTGGGGTTGTTGTAAAGTGTAAATGAAGTACTGCTAGGAAGCCATGAAGGATGGCACCTGGCATCTGAGGGGTGTGAGGCTCAGTAAATTAGAAGCTCTGTCAATGTCCCACAGCTTTTAAGTCCCAAAAGGCTATTCGTAAATCCTTTCGTTCTTCAGTCCAAAGTAACCAAGCAGTCCCCAGACACATTTCCACAAAAAGGGAGTGAAAGTTGGTCCTTTAAAGCTTTGAAACTTTGCTCATATGCACTTAGGCATCTTTTAGACATAGTTTCATCTACATTGCAAATGTATTGAGGTTGGTAACTGCCTTCTTAGATGAACTCTGCAAATGTAAAAGAATTTGACAGCTCTGGTATCCACATTGCCTCCCCACTCGCTTTCAAGGTACAGGATCAAATGGGCTTTGAACCTCTGAGAATGCCCCAGTCTTAGCAAACATTTCAGAAGCAGCATTTTCCATGGTACTTAGCCTTCATGTTCCTGCCATGTAGCCTCTTAAATTAACAGGACTCCTAGGCATGCAGGATTAGTGGCTGAGCCCTTGAGCCCTCAAACTGTTGGTTTGATAATTGTCTTTCCTACTGATTTTGTTGATCATATAATCCTAGCAGATTTCACATGTTGCACATTTCACTCTGGTTCCTGCAGAACCACTCTTACTGTTAGACAAGTCATCCCACATCTAAGTGCCTCGTCATTTCCTCAGCACTTTTAGTCCTCATTGTCTTCACACACGTTGTGAGTTAAACAGAATGCCTCAAATAAACATTCAAGAGACTAACGCTTTTTCCTGGAGTGTAGGTTGTTATTGTATTTCATTCAACAGTGAAATGATTTGTTGAGTGTCTGTTCTGTGCTGCACATTTTCCTAGGCACCTGGAGTGCATTGGGGGGAAACAAAGATGGATGCCCCAAAGCAAGGCAGTTTACCATAATGATTAAGAGCACAGATTCCAGAACCAGACTGCTGAGACTTTGAACAAATTTCCTCTCATGTCTTTGGAACTCAGTTTACTCCTTTGCAAAATGGCAGTAATTAACAGTATCTTAATAGAATTGTTTTGAGTGTGAGTGAATTAATGTTAAAATGCTAAGACAGTTGCTGACTCATTCAGAGTAAGATTATATTTGTTTGCTCCAGTCATGAAAGTTCTTCACTAGAATAACCTCTGTGCATACACATGGACTAATATGTAATACAGTAATTGCATTTATAAGAAATCTAAGGACTTAATAGATACTGGCTTGATTAAGAGATATGTAGCTAACAGAATTTAGAATAGTGATTAATCTTTCAACTCTATTGCTTATGACATTCTATTTCAAGCAGGTACAGCTACCCTAACTCATTTAATCATGTGTGTATTATAGTGGCTCATTTGATATTTATTAATAATAAGGCATTTTATTTGATGAACAGTACAAATGTATGTACATAAATATATAATATTTCTGCATTGTAAATCTTCAACAAAAGAGTGCATGAATTTAATTTCAGGTAAGACTCTTTTGAAGACATTTTACTGATATGTGACATATTTTTTGATTTGCTATATAGTGATATGGACAAACAAAAATCTACCCTGGTAGATGCCCTTTGTAGGAAAGGCTGTGCACTGGCAGACCATCTTCTTCACACACAGGCTCCAGATGGGGCTGTTTCAAGTGATATAGAAGGAAAAGAAGAGGAGGGAGAAAGTACTTTGGATTCTCTGGCAGAAACATATTGGGAAACTACAAAATGGACTGATCTTTTTGACAATAAGGTAACTTTTCTGCTTCTTGTTTTACAACAGTTCTTGGGGTTACCTGACAAACTTCTCTTGTGCCTCATTGCTTGCCAGAAGAGGAGGAGGCTCATCTCTGAAGAAGACATTCTGTTTAGCCTGATACCACATGTGTCTTACCTGTTTTAAAAACATTTAACCATTATTTTGTCTGAGTGCAAAGTGGCTGTTTAACCACAATAATTTTGAAAACACTTTGAGAATATATGTAGTAGTCTTTTAGTTAAACCAGTCATGTATAAAGCTAAAATAAAGTCTTATAAAAATTGTCTTCAGGCCTCACCACATCTATTCATGTGCTAATTTGTTGGAGGTAGGAGATTAGGAGGAGGAGGGAGGAGTATACTTGTTAGTTTAGGTATTCTTTATTTTCCTCCAAACTCTTGAACTTCCAAATAACTGTCATCTTGATTTGTAGCTAATCAGTTTTAAAACCCAGTTTTGGTAAAAGTAACATTGATGAACTTATTTGGATTTTAGTTATAAAAACATTTCAAATCCCTTTAGCTCTCCACTATAATTCTTAACAGTAGAAGTTATATAAGTTTTTATCAATCTTACTTTCCTGTGGAGATAAAGGAAATAAAGTAAGTGAAATCAGTAGGATTCTCCTCACCCAGCCCAGAGGAGAAAAAATCATTTTGTTTTGATAGACAGATGCTTGTTCTCAGGATTAATTATGATAATTTGCAGTAAAGAACTGAGGAAGTAGGAAAAAATTCTTCCTATATGCTTCAGATTGTCCCACTACAAAACAGTGGTACATTTATGGCAGATACTCAATCATATTCATGAAACTGAAGGAGTCAGTATTGCACCAGAGAGTTAAGATTTTTGATCTGAAATTAGACCCCTTCAGTTTGCCTCTAACCACTTTTACCCGTGATCTCAGGCAGGTTACTAAATTTTGATGCCTCACTTTGTTATTACACTACCTACCATATAGGCCGTTATGAATGAGTGTAAAGTACTTGGAAGGTTCCCAACAGTATTTGCTGTTACTGTTAACAGTTATCGAGGGCCTGCTATGTGCCAAACACTACTGGCTTCTGGAAACAAAGACATATAATAACCTGGTCCCTGTCTTTGAGGAATGTAACAGAGATCCATAAACATTTGGTGAACATCATAACAAAATTCTTATAAATAATTCTGTTTTTGCAATAATACTACTGTATTGGGAGCTTTGCATTATATTATCTATGTACTACATTTATGGCAACAATTGTTCAACATTTTACTTGGCTTTAGAGTACAAATCAGTGTAACACAGCGGTCCCCAACCTTTTTGTCACCAGGGACCAATTTCATGGAAGACAGTTTTTCCACAGATTGCGGGTGGGGGGAGAGGCGGAGCTCAGGTGGTGATGCAAGCGATAGGGAGCAGCTGGAAATACAGGTGAAGCTTCACTCACATGCCGCTCACCTGCTGTGCTGCCTGGTTCCTAACAGGCCATGGACTGGTACAGATTTGCGGCCCGGGTATTGGGGACCGCAGATGTAACAGGATTCCTCTCCTTGAGTACATTCTCCACATTCTAAAGTGGAGACCAAAAATGTAAATAAATGATTACAAATATATTTGACAGGTATAAAACTTGTACAAAAGGAACATGTTTATATAATCCAATACTTTTTTGTTTGTTTTTTTACTTTTTTCCTCATTTGAAATTTTGGTAATTTATAACTGCAGTCTCCAACTCCTGATTTGCAGGCCACACATCAGTAGGTGAGCAGCAGGCAAGGGGGTGAAGCTTCAACTGTATTTACAGCCACTCCCCATTGCTCACATCACCACCTGAGCTCTCCCTCCTGTCAGATCAGCAACGGCATAAGATTCTCACAGGACTGTGAACCCTACTGTAAACTGCACACTTGAGGGATCTAGGTTGCACCCTTCTTGTCAGAATCTAATACCTGATAATCTGAGGTAGAGCTGAAGCAGTGATGCTAGCACTGCGGAGTGGCTACAAATACAGAATATCGTTAGCAGAGAGGTTTGACTGCACAGAGACCATAATAAATCAGTTACTTGCAGACTCATATCAAAACCCTATCAGTGAGTGGCAAGTGACAATGTAATAATAATAGAAATAAAATGCACAGTAAATGTAATGCACTTGACTCATCATGGGACCATTCCCCACCCACCTCCGGGTCCATAGAAAAATTTTTGTGAAACCAGTCTGGTGCCAAAAGGTTTGGGACTACTGATTTGTAGAGACTATATTTTTGGATTCTTATCCCAATTTGTATTTTTACAATTATTTTTGTTAGCTCTGGTTTCTTTTGCATGAAGAGGTTATTTTAAAATGAATTTCAACAGCTAGTGATTTCTCATAATACTAGTTTTCTTCCCCAAAATAAATGATCTGTTCTGAGGAATACCTGGCTCTTCTGAAGACATTAATTATTCTTTTAAAAAGTTTTTAAAGGCCGGGCACAGTGGCTTACGCCAGTAATCCTAGCACTCTGGGAGGCCAAGGCCGGAGGACTGCTTGAGCTCAGGAGTTTAAGACCAGCCTGAGTAACAGTGAGATCCTGTCTCTACTAAAAATAGAAAAATTAGCCAGGCATGGTGGCGCACACCTGTAGTCCCAGCTATTTGGGAGGCTGAGGCAGGAGGATCGCTTGAGTTCAGGAGCTTGAAGTTTCAGTGAGCTACAATGATGCCACTGCACTCTATCCAGGGTGACAGAGTAAGACTCTGTCTCAAAAAAAAAAAGTTTTAAAAAATTTACTCAATGTAACATATTCATTTTAAAAGCTATACTTCTGTTAAAACCTTAATTCTTTTATTATTAAAGCTATGTGCCTTAAAATGTAAATATATCGTAAGTAAGCTTTATCTTGTTTCATATTATAGGTTTTGACATTTGCATATAAGCATGCATTAGTAAATAAAATGTATGGGAGAGGCCTTAAATTTGCAACTAAACTTGTGGAAGAAAAACCAACAAAAGAAAACTGGAAAAATTGTATTCAAGTAAGTGATTTTTAAAATGTCACTGTTAAGTGTCATTTCAATATTGCATAGTAACAAGATAACTAGAAAAGTTTGGGGTGGAAATACATAAGAATACTGATTTTATCGTGACCAGTTATACTTTAATTAATGTAATGTGAACTATAAAATAAATATATGAGAGACAGTCAATGAGCTATTTAAATTTTAAGAACATTTTTTACTCCTATCCATTAAAATGTGTATTTAGCCTCAAATATTTTCAGCAAGGACAAAATGCATTTTGAATCTTGTATAATTAGAAGACAGTTTTCCTTTTTGAAGGAACCAATTCCTTTTAAATACATGTTACCTCAATTCTAAAATGGTTGGACTTTTAGAGTTTATGTTGAATTTTATTCTTCATTCAAGGTGATAGGCCATTTTTGTTAATTATTTGATCATATATCACATAGACAGAAATTCTATAGTTGAGTTTTCTCCATAAGTTAATTGTCAAGTTTTTTTTATAAGTAAGTTTTAATTATTGTAGTCTTACCTTGTCTTTGGCCAGTTGGTTTGCATGTATGAAGGTAGGGGATTTTGGTGATTCCAAATGCAGCTAAGAGGCTGATCTGGGTTAGTTATACTTTATATTAAAAGTATGCTTTGGATGTCAAATGGGACTGGTAGGTTCCTCTGAAATTTTTTTATAATTAGAGTAAGGTATAAGTTATCTTTACTCTTAAAACTTTTTCTGTTTACCTTCACCAGTCAGTCCAAATTGTAAAACATTTAAAATTGGCTCCTTCAGATCTTTGACTAGATTAAGAGAACTCTTTCTGGAGCCAGTTGTTGATATGTCTGTGTGATTCTCATCACATAAAATATAATCTGAGTACTTATGTCTGTGAAGCCAGTGATCTCCTCCCACCCCGGACATTCACCTCAGGGATGTTTTAGAACTTGTCTCCCCTCTACTCTGCCCCCCTACTGTCTGTTCTCCACACACAGCAGCCAGAAAAGATGTCTGGTGATTCTCCGTCACATTTGTAATAAAATCCAAACTCCCCCCTGTGGCCTAGAAGGCTCCTGCCTACCTCTCCAGCCCTGTCTCATACCACTTTGCCCTTATAAATTCTGCCTCTGCCACAGCAGCCTCTCTCTGTTTGGCTAAAGCAGCCACACCCTTCCCAATGAAGGATTTTAGCACTGTTACAACTATATGGAAAGCTCTTCCCCTAGATTTTCAGAGATTTTTTTCTTGTCATTCAAATTCAACTTAAATGTCATCTCAGAAATCCTTTCTTGACTGTGTAACTACCCACTTAAACTTTGTATTGTATCAGGTATTATTTTTACTATATGCCTGATAAATATCTTAATTATTTACTTGTTTATTCATCCATTTATTAGTTTGCTTATTATTATTTGTTTTTCCTGAAAGTGGGAGTTGAGTTTGTTCGGTGCTGTTTTCCTGATGCTTAGAACATTATTTGACTTAATAGTGGGCTCTCAGGAAAAATGAAAGGAAGTTAGGTTGGTAGGAAGGAACGGAACAAGTAGGTTAAGTTGGAAGGAAGAAAGGAAGACAGAAAGGTTAGTGGGAAAGAAGGAAAGTTGGTAGAGATAATAATCAGGCAGAAAGTTGGTTGATTAGTTGTTAGTTAAGAAAAGTTGATTGGTAGGAAGGACGGACAGTCAGTGGGCGGATGAGTTGATGGCTGATGGAAGGAAGATTCTATATGCTACTACTTTATTATTACTGAATATTTAATACAGAATTTATCCTCAATATTGAGCTTGAAAATCTGTCATTTCCTTTGGTAATATGTTACTGTGTTTTGTTGTAGCTGATGAAGTTACTTGGATGGACTCATTGTGCATCTTTTACTGAAAACTGGCTCCCCATCATGTATCCTCCTGATTATTGTGTATTCTAAAATAGAAACCAAAACTTTAAATTTTTAAAAAGAAAGTTTTATAGTGAATGGATATAAAAACAAATTTGTGGCGTTTTTAGTCTAATGCATGTTTTCATCCACTATCAAATACTGATTATTAAAATGATGTGTATTTATCAGCAAATTCACTGGCGTGTGGCTTAATACATGTAAATCTAGACCTCTGACATCATGGTGTTTTTTTAATGCCTCACCGTTGCTGGCTTGGGGATATGCCCTGCCTGCCAGCACCCATGCCTATGAGTTGGGTTGCAGCTTATACATGCATGATAGGTTTTGAACAGTAACTTTTAACTGCAAACCTGTAAAATTCTATTTTTTATTTTATAAATGAACAGGGTTTTAACATGCTCAACTTTTTTTTCAATTGTATGAAGGCCTTAAAAAAGCTACATTAAGCGTAGCTAAAATTATTTATTGGACTTAAATGAACGGGGTTTTAACATGCTCAACTTTTTTTTCAATTGTATGAAGGCCTTAAAAAAGCTACATTAAGCGTAGCTAAAATTATTTATTGGACTGAAAATTAAAAGAACTTCATTTCCAGATTTTTTTTTTCTTTTTTCTTTTTTGGCAAACGTTTACATTCAATTACAGGGGGAAAATGGCACAAATGCCTGGCAGTTGCTGGAGCATATAACTATTTCCATAAATCTTCATCTTGGGGTTAATTACAGTCAAGTCATTTGAACATCCTCTTGAAGTGCAGAGCATCAAAATGAACTAATAATACATGTATAAAGTGCCAGACAGCTAAATCTTTATCAGGTATTGTAAAGATACACATATGGTATGTTTATTAAAGTTGAAATAATGTAAAACACGTGAATAAATGTGCAAAACTAAGATCGCAGTACACCATATGCATTCTATACCTTAATTTTTTTTTAATAAAAAATAAAAGTGAATATTGAAGCTTCTTAAAGTTGGTCTTAATTTTTCATAAATAAAATTTGGGCTTATAACAATACATTAAATCCACAGACAAAAAAATTAAACATAAGTTATTTTATAATGTTTCTTATAGTCTTGCAATTATTTGAATATATTTCCAGTTCTTACTGTGTGATTAACTTTTGTGTATGTTTAACTTTTCATTATTTTTATGCTTTTGGCTACAATACCTGCTTCTCATCATTAATGCATGAAATAAACACACACGTAAACAATATTAAAAAGTCTTTAGTTACTTATCTAATAGCAATGGTGTGTGTATGGTTTTTTAATCTTGTTTCCTTAAAATTTACCACTGCAAAAAGACCTACCAATAATCTTGTCATTCATAACTATTTTTGTTTCATCTTATGAAAGCATTAGAACCTTTATGAGAAAATACAAATACGCATATAAACTGCACGCAATTTCTGGAGCATCTAGAGTCTAAAGACCATCCATGAACAACCACATTTGTATTCCCATACGCATATGCATACTTTCACCTGCACAGGTACAGGTCTCCGTATATACAGGTTTATTTAGTCCAATAAGGGAATCACGAAGCTCGGAAAGGGTAGGATGACTTCCCAAGGTCATACTGCTGATTATTGATTACAGAAACCTGTTTTACAGCCCAGGTTTTGCCATTTCAAGGAATAGGAATCAGTAAACTATGGCCCTCAAGCCAAAACTATACTGCTGCCTGTTTTTGTAAATTGTTTTATTGGAACAGAGCCATACCCATCTATTTATGACTCCTATAACTGGAGGCAGTTATACAAAGCTGCTGTGTCAGCTGCTGCTTTTTGTCTGGATTATACTGGGCTTCCATGGTAACAACTGGACCCAGGTAAGCTTTAGAAGTATCCTCAGTAAAATCATTATTGTTTGTCTCTATATGATTAAAAATAATTCAGGCGGTAAGATGGTGCTTTAAAAAATCAGGGGACAGTTTTCCTGTTTTAGTCATGGTGGCCAATGTTTGCGCACAGCCACCAAAGACAACTGAAAGCTAGGTTAACAGAAGTGTGCTCAGTGTTGGTTCTGTGGCCCCTTTCCAATGATTAAAAGTAGTTCCCGGGTGTTACTGGTAGTTTTGCCATCTCCTGGGATTTCTCACTCCTTACTAATATTGACCTGCTTCCTAGGATAACTTCTCTTTACACCAGAAGCGCCCAGTCTGTCCTCTTCTTAGGCACCACAAATCTCAAACCCCTTCTCACTCCACCCCCAGCTCTGATGACATGTCCATAGTCTGGAAACCCTAGCCTGGGTCTTGGCTGTCTAGTCCTGGTTCAGGCACTGACAAGCCAAATCACTTGACCCCCATGGATCCCATCTGGAAACGTATATGGTGTTGGATTCAGTGTGTCTGTTACAACTCAAAAATTATTTAACCAAGGCTTTTCCTTGGCAATGTTTCATTTTCTGTATTCCCAACACCCCAGCGTTAAGAATATATATGTCTTGTCTTTCCCTGCAGGCTCTAAGTCAGAGAAGCCTGTGTAGGCAGATGGATGGGATCCTTTCCATCCCCCCCACCAAAAGGGGGGAAAAATCTCTTGAAAGAATTTTTTTTGAGGAATAAGAAAGACACTCTGAACTTTGAGTCCAAACACAGTAAACTAAGAGGAGAAAACTGCATCGGTATTAATGGGTAATAAATTGAAAAAAGGAAACAGACTAAAATTCCTAGAAACTAGAGAAAGGAGATGTAAGTGCTGCTCTAACATGAAAGGTTCTTGGGCCTCTCCCAGCAGAACTCTTCCCTCCCTGGAAGTGTCAGGGTCAGGATTTGATTGGGAGCAGTGTCCACCAGCACTTCATTGCACTCAGCTCTGCGAAGATACTTTAGTTTCTCTTCTGTATTTTTTAGGGTCCTTACTTTTAAAGCAGCAGAAGGTACTGTTTAGTTTCATTTCAAACTGCTGATTTTGTGAGAGAATTTCAAACAAACAAGGGTATAATTTATTCAATCCATGTCCTCTCAAGTGTCAAACTTGTATAATTATTAATATATGTATAACTACACGTATAAACCAGTATCAGTGCCAGGTGTCATGGTTTTCAGCTAGGACTGCCTGCATTCTCAGTCATATGAACCAAATTCACTCTAGAATCTGACTATGCCAGATCTTATCTAAAATGCAAATGGAATACAAAGCAACTAGAAATAACCTTTTATAATTCCCTTTCATGTTATGTATGATTTTTAAAGTTAATGTATTGACATATTCCTCAGTAATTCTGTGAATAAGCTACCTCAAAATTAAAACTCAGCTTCCAGCAATTTATTTTCGCTCAGGAGTGTACCTTGGTTGGAGTTTGGCAGATCTGAGCTTGGCCTAGATGGTTCTAAGCCTCTTAAAATTTACAATTTTCTGGAAGAACAGAGGGTAGAAGAACAAATTAAAGAACACCCTGATGATCAAGTCCACATAATGCAGTAGATTGAAATGCTAGAAAAAAAGCAAGATGGAGGAGAATCAGAGTGAAAGAGTTAAGAGGCATACTAATCAAACAAGTATGTGGACCTCATTGAGGAGCTGATTGAAATGTCATAACATTTATGAGACGACTGGAAATTTGAACACTGGATATTTTAATGTATTAAGGTTACTAAAAGTAATACGAAATTATGTTTTCACATTTATGGATGTGATAATATTATGGTTATGTATCATTGATATAAGCTGAATTTATAGAAGAAAGGACTTGTGTGATTTGCTTCAAATTAATACAGGAGTGAAGAGATTGGTGGAGGTTTAGGTGAGGCAAAATTTTTTATGAGTTGAAAATTCATGAGAGGGTGGAGGAGTTCACAATCCTCATCTACTTATTTAGCAGATTATTGAACTATAGT